TTTTCTTCTTTGGGTCAAATCAGGGTAACTACCTCCTTTCTTAGATTTTGGCATTTTTTTTTAACTTTTCTTCCAGACCAGGAAGTATAGAAATAGCATGAAGATATTTGGGTCATCCTTTGTTTGACCCCTATTATTTCTCCTACCCCGATGAGTCCATTTTCATGGCCCCTTTCATCTGACCACCAGCTCTAGGAAAAGGAATGGATCCTGACAGCGTCAACAGCAAAGTGGTGAATGTGCATCGGAAGGAAGAATCACCGGTTCTCTCGCCTTGGCGTTGGGTTCTCTTTGTACAACCCTGTACAGTACTTCAGCAACTATATATATATTTTGTAAGATTTTAAAAAGCAAAGAGTTACAAAACCGTCTGTAATTAACTTGAAATAGAAAAGATAGCACTTTTTTTAAATCCCATTATATAGTACACCGTATAAATTACAGAGTATTCAAATGCACAAATGCATCTGAGTAACATTTATCAAATGTAATCTGCGTGTCTCTATGCGCGCACACGTGTGTGTTCCCGGGAGTGTCCCCGGGCGCCGGCGTGACGCTGGCCCCGGGCCGTCACGTGTGGCAGTGCTCCAGGTCTGGCACACTGCTGTTGCAGTATCGCATGTTGTTGGGGATGTGGCAGTCTGTGTAATTAATGCCCCCGTTTGGGGTGTAAATGGGCTGCAGTCTGAAATCTCCTTTAAGGAGCTGATCGTTATTTAAGGAGACGATCTGAAAGCTGGTTTCCGTCATCTCCAGGATGGAGTTGTCCTTCTTGGTGCCCGCCTCGCAGTAGTCATCTTTCCGCCGGCCGCGGTTGTATTTCCACTTCTGGGACGTGTAGCGCCCCTTTTTGTGCATGTGCCAGCAAAACACGCTGAGCAAGACCACGAGCACAAAGATCACGGCGCCCCCGATCAGGCCCGCCAGCAGGAACGGGGAGCCCAGGCTGTGGGGCGTCGTCTGCTCGTGGCTGGAGGCAGTGTTGCTGCCGTTGTTCAAATACGAGGCGAGGGTGGTGACCTCCGAGCAAACGGTGTCCTCCACGGCCCGGTAGTTAAAAGCATCCAGGGGCACCAGGCAGATCCGGTAGGTGGATCGGGGCTCCAAGTTGACCAGGCTCAGATGCTGCTTCTCCCCACTGACGATGCGCTCCTGAACGATGCCCCCGACTAAACTGTGGCCCATTTTCACCCACGTGAGTTTGTAGGCCATCACCGCGAACAGAGACAGCCAGCTGACTTGAATGGAAGTGTCGTTCACAAAATGCACGGACAGCTGGATCCGCTCCGCAAGGGGCGGGGTCCCTCTTTCTCTGCCATCCCAGTCGGGGATCGTGGGGAGTCTGGAGGTGGTCGGAGTCGGAGGCGGGTAGCTTTTGCCAGGGGTGGGGACAGCGGGAGTGGGCGGCTCAGTGGTCGGAGCCGCGGTGCTGGGCGCTGGGGTGAAGACAGGCAGGCCCGGGGTCGTGGTGGGGCACGACAGAAGATTCATATTCAGCTCCCTGACGGCCATCCCCCGGACCTGCTCGGGGCCCTGGCACATGAAGCCGCGCACGTTGAGGGAGGAAGGGATGTATTTGAGCCACTCGGTGACCCACTTAATGCTGCAGTCACAGAACCACGGGTTATTCCGCGCCGTCAGCTGCTTCAGGTTGGCGAGGTTGTCGAAGACCCCTTGGGTCAACGCGCGCAGCTGGTTGTTGGAGATGTCCAGGCGCTCCAGCTTGCGGAGGTTGGCGAAGGCGGTCAGGGGGATGTGGTTGATCTGGTTGTCCTGCAGATACAGCCGGAGCAGATGCGTCCCTGGGAGATCGGGCGGGGGGTGGGAGAGCGAGTTCCTCACCATGGAGAACTCCTTGAGCTTGGTGAGATGGCTGAAGGTGCCCTCGGCGATGCCCTTGTTGGTCAGGAGGTTCCCGTCCACAATGAGGCGCTCCAAGCTCGTGAGGTTCTGAAAGGCCATGTCTGAGATGACAGCGATCCGGTTCTCATCCACTCGCAGCTCCTGCAAGTCCACGGGGAGCCCGACGGGGACGCTGCTCAGGTGGTTCTTGGAGAGGAACAGCAGCTTGAGGCTGATGGCCTCCCGGAAGGCCCCGTCTTCCACCCCCACCGTGGAGATGGAGTTGTCATCCAGGTGGAGCTCTTCCAGCTTCAGGAGCTGGGCGAGAGCCACCCGTGAGATGGTCTGAATGTTGTTCTCCTGCAAGTGGAGGACGCGGACGTTCTTGGGCAGGTTCATGGGGAACTCATCCAGTTGGTTGCCGTACAGGTAGACCGTGTGCACCGACTGGACGTTGTGCAGTTCTGCAGGGAACCCCGCGTTATTGATTTGGTTGTTGTGGAGGTAGAGTACGGTTACGCCCTCCGGGATCCCAAGAGGCACTGAGGTCAAGCTGCGCTCGTTGCAGTAGACGAAGTTCCGGTCGCAGCGGCACACGCTGGGGCACGCCAGGAGTTTGGACACTTGCGAGTAGAGCCCCAGGGAAATGAGAAGCCAAGATTTCAGGAGGAAGGCCCCATGGCTGGGCCACTGTGTGGTCTGCAGGCCCATTTCTGAAGTCCAGAAATGAAATACAATGTGCTGAGCAAAAGAAAAAGATGAAGAAGAAGAAAAAAAAGCAAAAGCAAAATGATTGGATGGGATCTGTCGAAGTCCAGAAATCCAACCAGAGGAAAAGTCCCAAAGGCCCACGCTAGAAAGATCTTCCTGCGGCCTCTGGTCTTATGAGCCTGTGGTGCCCTCCTTACTATTGTCCTCCATGTGCAAAAAAAAGAAAAAAGAAAAAAAGAAAAGAAAGGAAAAAAAAACTTCAACAGAGAAAATTTTCTATACAGATGCTCCAAGCAATAATTTTCTGCACAGGCAACAAAGGAAGCCGAGTTATGAGCGCTCAATAGGGGCCCAGCTGGGCAGGCGGAAGACCCTTCTCTGGTTGTAGTTCCGGTCAGCGTTAGTCAACCTATGACCTTCTCGGTTAAGCTTGATCCGCAACCTGTTGTAGGAAAGCAGAGAGAAAAAGTCAGTTCAGGGAAGTAATGGAAGAAGTGTTGACCTGATTGTACGCCTTTCAAGAATGATGTAAGTGGAACTAAATGACTAGAGGCAGGTGACTGGCATTAAGTGATACTTTAAGTAACAACGATTTAGTTGCAAAGGTATTCAAGAAATGAAAATGACTCAATTATCTTCCAAACAAATCATACTGCTACCTCTTGCTACAGATGATCATATTGTGTGTTTTACAATCCCAATCAGCACCTTCTCTTCAGTACCTATTTGCATATCAAAATAGGCACACTTCTGAACCCACTGAATTAAGTATGGAGGTCACCTACAAATCCAACTGGTCCAAGTCTTATTTCAAGATGAGACAAGTGAACGAGGAACTAATAAGATTTAAGGAAAAACAATGTGAAACCCTTTTGAATATATACACATACACACACACACTAGAGGCCCAATGTAGGAAATTCGTGCAAGAGTTTTGGCTCTCGCAGCCACAGCTACCTTGGTGGGCCCTGGCGCCCTGGCTTTGTCCAGAAGGTCATCTGGAAGATATATATATAATTTTTTATTGATTTCAGAGATGGAGAGAAAGATAGAAACATCAACGATGAGAATCATTGACTGACTGCTTCCTGCATGGCCCCTCCTAGGGATCGAGCTCAAAATCCAGGCATGTGCCCCAACTGGGAATCGAACCATGACCTTCTGGTTCATAGGTTGACATTCAACCAGTGAGCCACTGTGGCCAGGCTAAAGATGCAGCCTTTTGATCTGACACCGTGATGAAGCACTATAAACATAAGGTGCCAACGCATGAGTGACGGCAGAGAAAAGACCTTTCTTCCCCATTTCTTGCCTCCTCTCATCCTTTGTCTTTCTCCAAAAGAGCTTACATTCGAGTTACCAAGTAGAATGACCAAACTCCAGTCCATAACACATTTTCGCTTATCCTCTTTTGGGACCTCCAGGTATAGATGAGATATGCCACTGTGATCCCTTAGAGCAGTGGTTCTCAACCTTCCTAATGCTGTGACCCTTTAATACAGTTCCTCATGTTGTGAGCCAACCATAAAATTATTTTCGTTGCTACTTCATAACTGTAATGTTGCTACTGTTATGAATCGTAACGTAAATATCTGATATGCAGGATGTATTTTCATTGTTACAAATTGAACATAAAGCATAGTGATTAATCACAAAAACAATATGTAATTATATATGTGTTTTCCGACGGTCTTAGACGACTCCTGTGAAAGGGTCATTCGACCCCCAAAGGGTCGCAACCCACACATGCC